CTTATTGGACTTAAATCATCGCGTCCTTCTGGTAATCGGCATCGATGATCCGGTTGACCAACAACAAATGGTTGGTTGAAAGCCGAAAATGCGGATGGTAAACTTGCCGGTAAACATATTACAAAAAATAATATGATTTGAAATGGACCAAAATCGCCGACCTGTAAATTGCTTCGGAATTTCCACATTTAACAGATTTCAAAAAATGGAAATGTTCGGTCAAGTTTGATTGAATTTTGCATTTAATTAAATTGAATTTTTTCATTTTAAGGTTCTTGTGATAAAACAAAAATATGCTTCATTTTGACTTATTTCCATTTCTTGATCAATTGATCATATGAAAATTCATGGAATATAAATTAAATTATTAACAACAATTATTTTCCATTTGTACACTCAAAATATCCTTCCTAATTAATACATTGAAATTTTCATAATAAATTGGCAAATTATTACCTCAGCAAGTAGCGAATCGAAATCCATCACTTTCATACAATATGCCACTGTTAATTGAATAATTAATTAATTCAATTTTCTAATTAAAATTTTCCATCATATTATCCATTGAAATCGTCCACCAGTAAAAATGAATTTCTATTTTTTTTTTTCTGGATTACAAGGATATTACTGGAATGTAATTATATATTGAAAATATGATTGCTAACTTTGTTTTTGACATCAATCTCATCATTTCATATTGCATGTGAGGAAATTTTCTGCAAGACAAGAAATAAGGAAAGGAAATTAGCATTTTCTGTTTAATAAGTTAAAATTTTCATATTTTTTAAATTCCATCAAAAATTAAATCCATTATGATGTTATGCCTTTTATTTAATATACTTATGAAACATCAAACTATTGATGTTAATTTTGCTGTTAAATGATCTGATAAAAACATATTTGATGATAATAAACATTGATATTATTACGCTAAAGTTTATTAAATATATCAGAATGATTATATCATTATATCACATTATTATCATTATGCTAAATGCTCGTAGTAATTAGTGTGGACGGTTTTGGTGGAAAACAAAATTCTGAAGCTAAAAATTTTTGAAGATTAAAATGAGCTTAAGCTTAATGCTTAAAATTTTCATAATTGAATTAATAAATTGAAATTCTCAGAATAATTCAATGTGCAATATGTTTTCATTATCATTAAGACTAATACTGCCTAATCAGGTAATTGTGATTGGTAATATAAAATGAATGCTATAGATATAACTTCTTTCAACGAATTTTAAAACTCACAATTAACTTAACAATTTGAAATTCAAAAATAATAATTTGGCTGAAATATACTTTAATTACCAAAAAACAAAGATATTAAAAAACTTTATGCGATTAACATCAAAAAATTTAATGCTGCATTTCATTATCTCTTTTGATTTAAATAATGAAAATTGTTTAAAACATTACTGATAATTTCCTTTTCAAGTTAATAGACAAATTTTATAAAACGATATTTTTTCATTGAAAAAAATAGAAATTTTACAGGAAAAAATTAAAAGACAACATATGATGAGTGATAATGTCAGAGTAAGATACTGTCAAGATAAGTTATTATATCGAAATGATAACAACGCATATTGCTAATTAGCATCTTTTGTATTTTTTTTTTAAAAAAAAATCATTCACCAAATTTACTGCTTAAGAGATATTTGTAAGTTAGAGAAACGTACGAAAAAGAATAGATATAATAATTAAAAACAAAAAATCAAAAAAAAAAAACGAGGAGCATCATCGATTAATTATGTAAAATTAGCTTGCATGAAAGTTATTTTTATTTATCAATTAATTCTAACTGTTAGATTTTTCTGTTATCATTTTTGCTAATTTTTGTGATGAAAATTTTTTTTTCATTTCATTAATTTAATTAATACAATATATTGCATCTAAAAGTATCCAACGTTTTGTGGTGATATCTTACGTGAAACAAATTTATATATAATTTTTTTTAGAAGAAAAAGAGACATTACAATCAGACAAATATCACTAACACATTTGTTAAATCAAATTTAGTAAAATAAAAATGTTGACGAAAAAAAAAGCCAAAAAGGACAAATAACTTCAATTAGCGAACTGCCATAAATGATTATTCTGAAAAAAAACAAATTGTTCGAATCTATCAATACTGATTATTGAATTGAAACATCAACCAGTCATTTTTCTTTTTTCTTTTTGTTTAAAAATAGAAAATATTGATTTTATTTTATTTTACTTTTCACAATATCTCTTAATAATTTCTTTGATGTACAAAAATTCACGTAACGATCGATAATCGATAAGCTTATCTTTTTTTGTCAATACATTCCATAATAATGAAATTAGATTTTACATTGAATAATTTCAAGAATTTAAAAATCAAAAATTGAATATAACAAATATAAGTGCAATTTAGGATTACGTGGCATGAATTAAATATCAGTATTACCGTACTGTATTTGTCTTACAAATTCAAGAAATAATTATGAATTAGTTGCAAATTCGGAATTTTTCTATTTTATCAAATTGTTGGGTTACTGAATATATTGCTTTGTATTACGATTGAAGTGAACGATTAAAATTGGAAGAAATGGATAATTTGATTCAAAATTTGTCAGTTGGAATCGAAATTAATCAATGAAATTGTTCAAAAAATATTCTTGCAATCTTTCAAAAGCTTTTATTTTTTTTCTCCGCGTACAACAACAGCAATCAAAAATGTTATTTTTAGTTAAATCATCAATTTAATATTTCAATAATTTTATGAAATAATTTTATGACAAATTCAATTCTTTTTTGCACAATTCATTTAACTGAGCTTTACAAATTTCCTTTGCATTTTCCACACAAATTTTGTAATTAAATATAGGAACTAGAAAAAATGGCATTATCATCACATGGCTTATCATTATCATCACATGGCTTATCACTGTATTACCAATATTTGAAACTATAATTCGAAAATGAAAACGTTCCTTGAATCGCATATTAGTTATTATTAAGATATGCTGACAGTTTTCTGGTTTCCCAGAAATTCCCGCAAATAATTATAACTCACGAATGTGAAAAGATGCATAAGGTTGAAAAGATAATATTGTATTTAAGTTATTATCACCGCGTTTTATCACTTTAGTCATTATCACTACAAAGAACTGATAAATTAAAAAAAATCAAGGTTTGGTAACAGTTTAGAGAAAGTGATCATTAAGGAATTAATTTTTAACAACAGTTTAAAGTTAAAAAAAATTAATTTGCAAATAGAAAGTTATCAAAAAATGAAATGAATTTAAATTAAAATTTCTTGGTGATCATTTTGCAAATAAACTTTAAAATATCAACAAATCGATAAATGTCAGAAGGCAATGACAATTCCGGAAAACAAAGAAGAATTGACGATTAATAATTTTATAGCAGTCAATTGTTTATTTTCGGACAAAATATTGCCGCCTCTTCAAAAGTAATTAGGTTGTTTCATACAATATAAGCACTAGAAAATTGAATTATCATCTCAAACTCTCTTATGCATTATTTTAAGAGATGAAAGGCCAATTATTATTCACAAAAATCAATGAGAAATTTGAAGTTTCGAAAAGATTTCTGAAGGAAATTAAAATTTTTGAGAAAAATTTAAAGCATTTATTTGAAGTTTGTTAGCTCATCAATATCATCATCATTATTACTATTTGCAAAAAAAAAAAAAAAATGAAGAATTATGATTGATTAAATTATAAACACGAATTTAAAGTTAATATTTTGAGGAATTTGAAGTTAAAATTACCACTACTATTGTTACTATTTGTAATAAAAAATGATGATTAATTAAATTAAAATAGTTTTTAATTTGAAGTTAAAATTTTAAATGTGTACATATGCGTTTATGAACATTAATAGATCTTTGAGAAAGTATAAAAGTTGAGGAACATTTGGGCTTAATCCAAAATGTTGAGAGGAATAATGATAACATAAATGAAATTGAAATAAGAAATGATATTGAAAAAAAAGTTAAAAATTATTCATTAACAATTCAGACAATTTATTCCAAAATTATATTTAATGTTTTTCCAAGTAATTTCATTTTTTACATCAATAAAATTGGACCATAAAAAAGTAAAAATAAAAACAAAAACCATCCTCATCTTTTATCAAACGTTTCAGTGAAAATTTCAAATTTAATAAAGCTTAAGAAATATTGCTATTAAAAATATATGGGAGAAAATATATATGAAAAAGCAGAGAAAATTTTAAAGTTTTACTGAAAGTAAAAAAAAAAAAAACTAGTTTGAATGGAATTTAGGCTAAAATTTGAATGAATAGTTAGTAAATTTAAAATGACACTCTGTAAATGACATCAGTGTATTGCGTAACTTGTAAAATGATGCTTACAAATATTAAGTAAACATAAAATTTACAGCGAATTTACAGTGGAGGAGAATGATAACAATACGTAACATCGTTCGGTTAATGTACTTATACTGCATCTTTCTTCTAATAATTAGTCTAATGAAATTTGAGAAAAAATGAAAATAAAAGCATTTACGATAAGTTACCATCCATGTATCATTACTGATTACTTCTGCTTGCAAGCATTTTATCACTATCATATTTGTTGTTAAAATTGCAAACGTTCAAAATAAATGCAGGTGGATGTAAACTAAAATGCACGCATACTGTTTCTTCTATTGTATTTTTTGCAAGCAAATACATTTGTTGCTGATTGCTATTTGCATTAGCACTTGCATTTAAGCATATATCAGTTGCAAAAATTTGTTATCGTTGAAACTGTAATTATTGATGTAATTAATTAATTGTAAGTAAATTATTGCTGAAATTTTTAAATAGAGTGCTAGCGTGCAATATTGCATGCACTGACAACAATTATTTCAACATATTTTTTCCGGAGAGTTCCATTTTCGTGGAAAATCCTCAACATGGACAAATATTGCAAGGAATTACCATAATTGGTAATTACTGAAACCGATGGATCGCAATTCGTTCGGGATTTTGTTCAATAATCGATAAGAAGTAATTGCAATGCGATTTGGTGAAATAAATTTGATATAATTTAAGAAAAATTTTTTTCGGTTTTTAAAAAAGAATGAATTTTTATGAGTTTTAAAGTTACTAAAACTTCCAATCATTTTTGTGTCAAAGTTGAAGTTTATGTTTTGCCTTTAAAATGTTTATAAAAATAATGGGAAATTTTCAATTCCATAGTTATCAAAAAAAAAAAAGTCATAATTTCAGGAATACAATATTTTAGTATTGTTGTTTTCGGAAATTGTTGAGTATAAATTGTAATTAGCAAAGCTCATTTTATTTCATTTGTTTAGCAAATTAGTAAAATTTATTTATAATTTTTCTTTGCAATAAAGATTGTAATTGGGACAAACAAACAAATTTTTTTCGTTGCTATTTGGCAATATTTTTGGGAGAAATAATTGGCGAATCCAATTTAGTTAATTCCTTCTTTTCGATTTTTCATTTCAAATTATTTGATGTGGTTC